TGAAGAACCAGGAATACACTATACACAATGACAACAATAATGGAAATGAAAACAACAACAAAAAAATGTAAAAGCTGTGTAATTATTACATCCAAATGTGGCCCCGAGGAAGAGATGGCCCCTTTCCTGAAGAGGTGGAGAATTATGTGTGTGTAATACTGTATTTGCTGTCAGATGTGGTAGACTCAGTGGTGGTTTTGCTTAACTGTTGTTGTTGTTTGTTAAAACGAAAGGCCCCGGGGCAGCTAGGTGGCACAGTGGATAAAGCACTGGCCCTGGAGTCAGGAGGACCTGAGTTCAAATCCAGCCTCAGACACATAACACTCACTAGCTGTGTGACTGGGCAAGTCACTTAACCCCATTGCCTAGCAAAAAAAAAAAAAGGAAATGCCCACTGGTAGGGGAGGAAATGGGTATGTTTGAACATGACCATACATAAAAACAAAAGGCATAAATTAAACTTTATTTAAATGACAATCTGAAGTAAATATCTTAATTGGAAGAGATAGAGGGCTGGAGTGTCTAAAGAGGCCAGTGGGGGGATGTACCATCAACTAAGTTAGATTTTTAAAAGGCATCTAAGGAAGATGGAAACAAGGTAGGGTAACAGAGGATGAATAAAAAATCATAATTACAACAGCCCTCACTAAATGCTGTGAGAACAGTGTCAGGAGCTCTATAGCTCAGAATGAGCTGACATTGATAAAATATGATAAAGAATTTTTTTTAAAACAATAACTTTATTTTAATGCTATATTGGAGAAAAGATGAAGATCAAAGCAGAGATAACACAGTTGCTCAGAGTAAATGAGATGGTGATAATTCATGAGGAGAAGTCAGAGATTCTCAGCTCTTATCTGGTTTTGTTTTCTCTGCTTAAGACAATGATGTTTTGGACTGAATAGGACGAAACAAAAATATGTCATTGGGAGTTAGTACCCAGGACAAGGAAGGGGACAGTGAGAGAGCACCTAGTTGCTCTTGATGAGGTCATCTCCCAAATGAACTTGATGTCAGAGTGCTGAAGAAACTGTCAGTGGTTGCTGAGCCACTGTGATTGATCTTCGAAAGACCCTGAAGAATGGGCAAGGTGTTTCAGGACTGGAGAAGGGCAAATATTGTTCCTATTCTCACAAAAGGGAAGAGGGCATAGTCTACAGCCTAAAGTCCAGTGAACCTGACTTCCTTGATTCCTGGAAAAACTCTAGAACAAATTGGAGATGGAAATGGCAAACCACTCCAGTATCTTTGCCAAGAAAACCCCAAATGGGGTCATGAAAAGCTGCATGCAGCTGAAATGACTGAATAGTTAGTACAACCCTGAAGCTTCATCTTATACAGAGAAAACTGGTGAAGACCACAAATGAATGTTAGAGGAGTTATAAAATCAGTCAACAAGAATCTGGTAAGCAATTACTATGTGCCAGGTAAATGTGCTAAGCACTGAAGATATGAAGAAAAGGCTAGTTCTTGCCCTCAAGGAGTACATTGTCTAGCGGAAGGGGAGAGAACATGTAAACAACTAGAACATACAAGATATATACAGAGTAGGTAGAAGTCCTGAGTTCAAATCCAGACTCAGACATTTACTAGGTGTAACCCTGAGCAAATCACTTTATCTCTCTATTTCCTCATTTATAAAATGGAGATAATAATTGCACTTATCTCCCAGGATTGTTATGAGGATAAAATGGGATAATATCTATAAAATGCTTTGCAATCCTTAAAAGCACTATATAAATGCTAGTTGTTACTATAATTATTATTATTAATTATTGTCATCTGAAGAGAAGACAGCAGCTAGGAGAGCAGGAAAGTCCTCCTGTATCAGGTAGGCTTTGAGCTGAGTCTTGAAGGAAGTCTAGTACACTGATGCATTGTTGGTGGATATGCTAAAAAGCAATTTGGAATTTGCAAATAAAATGTCCAAAATGGGGGCAGCTAAGTGGTGTAATGGATAAAGCACTGGCCCTGAATTCAGGAGGACCTGAGTTCAAATCCGGTGTCAGACATATAACACTCACTAGCTGGATGTGTGACCCTGGGCAAATCACTTAACCCCATTGCCTAGCCAAAAAAAAAAAGTGTCTAAAACATCCGTACTCTTTAACCCAGAGACTCACAGATAGACATATGCCCCAAGGAGGTCATGGACAAAAAGAAATATCTATAGCAGTACTTTTTGTGGTAGCAAAGACCTGGAAACAAAAATGATGCCCATTGACTGGGGACTGGCTAAACAAGTTGTAGTGCATGAAGGTAATGGGTTATTACCATGTTGTCAGAAATAATAATTGGACAGCTAGCTTGGCTCAGTGGATAGGGCGTCAGGCTTAGAGTCAGGAAGACTCACCTTCCTGAGTTCAAATCTGGCCTCATGAAGTTACTAGCTGTGTGACCCTGGGTAAGCCATTTAACCCTGTTTGCCTCAGTTTCCTCATGTGTAAAATGAGCTAGAGAAGGAAATGGCAAACCACTCCAGTATCTCTGCCAAGAAAACCCCCAATGGGGTCACAAAGAGTTGGACACAACTAAAATGACTGAACGCACCACAGAAATAAGAAACATCATGAATACAGAAGTTTCCATGAATACATGGAAAATGTTACTAACAATTAGAACTATCCCAAAGTGGAAAGGATTCAGGGTAATGGACTTAACCTCAGCAGAGGTCTGCCCACAAAGGTTGGATGATCACCTGTCAAGCACATTTCAGAATATATTATTTTTCAGGTATGAGTTGGAATAGTCTATGAGATCTCTTCTAACTGAGATTACGTGATACTGTGGCTTATGCCCCAGTTTGGCTATGTCCTCCTGAAAAGGTCCTCCTTTAGTTCCAGAAGTAAAGACAACACAGCCAGGCTGATCTGACTAGGACAGAGGATTGTGGGACTGTCACTTCTCTTAGCTTTTATGGCTTCCTTACGGCTGCTGAATCATATTGAGCTTCCAGTCTACTGACACCTCCAGACCTTTTACCCATGAACTGTTGTTTAGTTATGTGTCCTTAAATTGGTATTTTGAACTTGTTCAAATGGATTAGCAAATATACTAAGTAGCATGGAACCATTTCATCATCTGTGTGTTTTGTTTTCCCAACCATAGGGTAAGTTCTTCTGTCATTGAGTTGTTTCAGTTATGTCTGACTCTCTGTGACCCCATTTGGGGTTTTCTTGCAAAGACACTGGAGTGGTGGCTTCTCCAGCCCATTTTACAGATGAGGAAAGTGAGGCAAACAGGGGTTAAGAAACTTGCCCAGGGTCACCCTGCTAGTAAGATTTGAACTCAGGAAGATGAGTCTTTCTGATTCCAAGCTCAGTGCTCTATCTACTGTGCCACCTACCTGCCCAAGCTCTTTAAGAGCATGAATCTCATAGGAGCAGAGATTGAGAGCTGAAAGGAAATTTAGAGGTAATCTAGGCCAACCGCCTCATTTTACAGATGAGGAAAAGGAGACTAGGAGAGATTAAGTGAATTGCCAAAGAGTCAGAGTCAATAAACATTTAGTAAACGCCTACTATATGCCAGGCAAGCACTGTGCTAAGCACCAGAGAAACAGGCCTACCTAGGAGATAATGCAGGTTCAGTTCCAGACCACTACAATAAAGTGAGTCACATGAATTCTTTTTGTTTCCCAATGCATATAAAAATTATGTTTAAACTATACTGTTATCTATTAAGTATGCACTAGTATTGTGTCTAAAAAATGTACATACCTTAATTAAAAAATACTTTATTGCTAAAAAATTGCTAACCATCATTGCTAAGCCTTCAGCAAGTCATAATGTTTTGGCTGGTAGAGGGTCATGCCTTGATGTTGGTAGCTGCTGACTGATCAAGGGTGGCTGTTGTTTAAGGTTGAGATGGCTGTGGAAATTTCTTAAAATAAGACATCAGTAAAGTTTGCCCCATCGATGGACTCTTCCTTTGCTTCAAACACTTAGAGGCCTTTGTAGGGTTATTAATTGGCCTAATTCAATATTGTCTTTTCTCAGGGAATAGAGAAGCTGGAGGAGAGGGAGAGAGACTGGAACGGCAGGATGGTAGAGCCACCAGAACACACACACACACACACACACACACACACACACACACACACACGTGTACACACACACACACACACACACACACGTTTATCGAGTAAGTTCACTGTCTTATATGAGTGCTATTCGTGGCACCCCAAAACAATTATAGTAGTAACATCAAAGATCACTGATCACAAATCACTGTAATAGACTTAATAATAATAATAATGAAAAAGTTTAAAATATTGCAATAATTACCAAAATGTGACATAGAGACATGATGTGAGCACAGGCTGTTGGAAAAAAGTGATGCCAATAGACATGCTTGACTGAAGGTTGCCACAAATCTTCAATTTGTAAAAAAAAAAAGCAATATCTGCAAAGAGCAATAAAGCAAAGTGCAGTAAAAAGAGGTATGCCGGTACTAAGGAAGGCACAAGTTACTGTAGTCCTTGCTCTCAAGAAGCTCACAGTCTAGTTGGGGAACAACACATAAAGAGAAGCTGAAAGGGGGGCAGAGCATAGCTGGTTATGGAGTTGGAGTTTACCCAGAACAGAGGAATGATGAAATTGTGCAGCTAAGTTGAGAAATGATCTGGGGAGGTAAGAGTTTCAAGTTGATTTCATCTTACAGAATGATGAGCTTCTAGTGATGATGAAGTCCAAGAAAGCAGCCAGGTGGGAAATGATGAGGAGAATTCCCTGGCTGCCCCCTTTCAATGGTAGAGGATCAGGAGGAGCCCCCAGATGTCCACCCTCTCCCCTACTCTCTCCAACCAGAAGGATGGAAAGGCCTGGGGGAGGGAGGGGGTCATTGCAGAGAAGGTGTGAATCCAATCACACAAGTAATGAGTGTCAAGGCAGGGATTTGAATTCAGATCTTAAGACTCTGAAGACCATACCACTGTGCCTAAGGAGTATTGATAGTGAAAATAGCCCTCACCTGGGAATCAGATTTTTGTTTTACTCCCTGCTCCACACTTCAGTTGTTTGCCTTCAGTTTATTAAAATCATTGAATAGATTGTTCCCCTGGTTCCATTCACTTCACTAGGTAGCTGCAACATGATTTGTGCAAAAGGATGAGTCACCATTTCAATTTTCTGAAATTTGGTTTTCTTATTTGTAAACTGGAAATCATTACTGCTCTATCTACCTCTTCTGGGGCTCCCTATCACACTCTGGATCAAATATAAAACCTTCTGGCATTCAAAGCTTTTTACAATCTGCCCCCAGACCTTTCCAATCTTTTTGAACCTTCCCCCCTTCCCCACCAAAAAATAAGGTCCTGAGTACTTTGCAATTGGTGACACTAACCTTCTTGTTTATTGAACAAGACACTCCATCTCCCTTCTCTGGGCATTTTCGCTGGCTGTTGCTCCATCTCTGGACTACTTCCCCTTTTCCCTTCCACCTCTCTAGGTTTCCCTGGCTTTATTCAAGCCCCTACTAAAATCTCATCTTCTATAGGAAGGCTTTGCTGATCCACCTTAATTCTAGTGCATTCCTCTGGTGATTTCTCCAGAAGAATTTATCCTGTATATATGTCGTTTGTATGTAGTTGTTTACATGTGGTTGCTTCCATTAGACTGTGGGCTCCTTGAGGGCAGGAGCTGCCTTTCCCTTTCCTTTGTATCCCCAGTGCTTATCACAGTGCCTGACACTTAGTTGGCACTTAATAAATGTTTATTGACTGACTGTGAAGATTAAATCAAACGAGATAGTGTTTGCGAAAATGCCTTGAAAAGCTATAAAGTGTTATACATGTATGAAGGATTAATAACAATAATAGTTACAGTAATAGTATTGCATGTGCCTTACCTGCAATTTCCTTCCTTTGTTCTCTGAAAACAACAACAGTGACAAAAGGAAAACAGAGACCACTCTATAAAAGGAGCCTCCTTAGGGTGATCTCAGGAGATTACTTCAGCTCCATGGACCAAGGCTACCATTGAAGGATAAATAGAAACATTAAAGGAGAATGCCTGTTGGCTTTTCTCTAGACAGTGTAGAAAAATATATGAAACACAAATGGGGAGACAGGTTTTTCACTAGAAGAACCTCTCCCTGGGGGCTATGGAGCCACCCTCAAACTACCACTATTGGAGAGAGTGGTGGAGAAGACTCTTCCCAGAACACCTCAAGGACAGTCCTTGCAAATCCCACAAGGCCTCAAAGCCTTCAGCCAAAACACTCATGCGCAATTCATTGCTGGCAACCCACACCAACATATTTCCCCAATTTCAACGGCTTCTGCAAAACTAAAGATGAGCCAATTAAGTGAAATTATTTTTTATGTTTAAAAAGCACTCTGGATACTAAATGGATAAGTACAAGAGAAAAGAGCGCGTGCAGAAAGACACACAATTTATTCAAATGGGGGAATTGATCTGTGGCAGTGATGGGAGCTAAGTATGATAAAAAGATGTTAAGTTAACAATAGTCAAAGATGTAATAAATTGTCGTGGCATTTCACATCTCAGACTGGACATGATCAGCTTGCGCATGCTCCAAAAAGGATTAACGGTCTAGTGGAAAAAAAAAAGAGGATGCCACTCTTTGGTGTTCTGAAGAGAGCCAGACAAAGGCATGGGGGCCAGCTTACTTCCTTGGGCTTATTTTCATTAGTCCATGTAAGGTCCCTGGACGCTTGTACCACTAGTAACACTTCACAGACCCTTCAGTCCTAACAAATAATTAGCTAAAATTGAACCAGAGATTTCTTACATGCATGTCATAGGTTTGATATGAATAATGAGGCAAAAGGTTAACAGAGGGTCAGAGACAGTTCCCTATCTCCTGGTTTATTTATTCAGCGAAATGAGAAATTGATCATGGTATTTCGTATAGGGGGATCTGATTCATTGCAATCAGCTCTGAATTGGCAGTTTTGACTGTAGGCAATTTCAGGACATTACTTATGCCTGAGCAGGCAGAAGGAAGGTCATTTATAGCTTGTTAACACCTTTCTGACCTCCCCCCCCAACTTCAGACCAATCTTTCCCTCCCCCAACCCAAACACCCCAGGACAATGGTAATTACATAATTCGCAGCAAGATGGTAAGATGACCCAGAAAGAATCTCCCTAAAACGCAAGTGTTCCTCCGTGGTGCTTTTCTCCAACATTTAACCTGAGCTCCAGGGATCTCCATAAGTGGTAGAATAGCCTACAGTCTATGGCAAGGAGAGAAGAAAGAGAAGTCAAAATGTAGTCTCATCCATTCCTCCTCCTCACCCCCACCAACCCATCCTAAGTGAATACAACTAATTATAGAAGGATATTACAACCCAATGATCCAAAAACATTTATTAAAGGCCTACTATGTGGCAGCTAGACGGTGCAGTAGATAGAGCACTAGGCCTATAAATGTATGTAAAAATGTATTTGACTTAGACCATTCATTCCACTGGTGCAAGGAATTTGGAGAGGAAAAACTCCCTCTAGCAATGCAGATTAGCCATTGTAGTACAACTCATAATCCTATACAGTTAGCTGAGCCATTGAGAAGTTAAAGGATTTCCCCACGGTCCTACTATGTGTTTCACAGGCAAGATTTGTACCCACGTCTTTCTTATCCAAGTTCAGCACTTTATCCACTATGCTATGTTGTCTCTGAAATGAGTAAACCTATGCTTTAGGAAAATTACTCTGACATCTGTATGGAAGATGGATTGAATAAGTGAACAGCTGGGAAGAGGACGAGAACTAGCATTCATTTGGCTCCTACTATGTGCCAGTCACTGGGCAAAGTGCTTTACAAATATTATCTCATTTGATCCTTGTAACAACCCTGGAAGTGGGCACTATTATTACCCCTCATCTTACAGATGAGGAAACTGAGGCAAACAGTGGTTAAGTGGCTTGCCCAGGGTCATAACAGCTAGTGAGTGTCTGAGGGCTAGGTTTGAACTCAGGTCTTCCTAACTCAAGGCTCAACACTCTAAGCACTACACCTCCTAGTTACATCTACCTGGAAGCAGGGAGGCCAAGTGAGAATCTATATTATTAGACTAGGAAACAGGTAATATGGTTCTGGACTAGTCTGGTGGCCATATGCGTATAAAAGGAAAAAGAGTAGAAAGATGTCATGGAGGCGAGGACCCATTAACCAATTGTGTATACAGAAGTAAGGGATAGATAAAACTCAAGGATGATTCTGAAGTTGAGAACCTGAGCAAGGGCATATAATAAGTTCTTAATTAAATGTTGGTTAAATGGAATTATATCTAAATGGAAATAGTGATGTTTAGAGGAGGGACAAGCTATAAATAAGGGAGGGGGAGAAGGGACATAATTAACATTATTTTTTATTTCTGATTGTCAGCATAACTGTGAATTTGGGGGCTGGAGTAAGGAATTATGCTTCGTTTTTTTGTTTGTTGTTGAAAAGATCCAGTATTTCACTGGGAGAGGACATGGCTTCTCACACCGTTTGGATGAGTCATCAACTATGGTCCTGGCAAAATGGAAGACAATTAGGTCTTACCATCTGCCCTTTAGATATAATCTGCAGATCCCAGAGAACTGCCATTTGACCTGCCGACGTACTCTCAGGGCTCCACCTTGCCTTGCCATCCAGCTCTTTGATACACCCTAGAGGTCATTGAGGATCAGGTGGTCGTGTTTGAGACTTTAGAGTGACCATGACACTTCTCACTGGAAATTCAGAAACTTCGTGACCAGGTATGGTTACCTATGGAAGTTTTCATACTAAAATGTTCAAGTGCATGGTCTATTTAGTCCTTTCCAGTTTATATGCAAATATACTTGGAACTTCTATTTAATCTGTGTGTGTGTGTGTGTGTGTGTGTGTGTGTGTGTGTGTGTGTACTCTAAAGAAAATCCTATGGAGACTATTAGTATTTCTTCTGACCTACTGGTTATATTTCTACTTCACTGTGGTTTAGTTGAGGGAGTAGTAGATTCAGAGTTCCTGGACCTGAATTTTAATCTCAGCTCTGTCACTGCCTCTCTGTCCTTGGCCACTTCTCTGAGCCTGTTTCCTCATCTATTACACAAAGAAGGTTAGACTTGGATGGTTGTGGTTTGCTCTTCGTTCTTGAAGAGACTATGACATCAGGGAGATGATGACATGACTTGCAATTGACTTTGATTTGAGTGAGGGAGGGCTGTGCAAGGTCACCAGCCTCACTTTCTCCTCCAGAGCCATCTGGGTCCAGTGGCCTGAAATTCATCAGGATGATGGCCCAGGATGCAATGAGAGATCCTGGCCCTTTTAAACTAAAGACTTTCAGGTTCTCACTTTGAGAACTGAGTCAAGGGATGGCTCCTTTAATTAAAAAAAAAATCAAACCGGGAGGGGAAACCTTCAGAGCTGCTGACCAAAAGAGAAACAATTACTATTTACATGCACTCTGAGCCAGGAGGGCCCAAAAAATAACCATTAAGTGGTTCTTGGCAGGGACCTATTGTCCAACCCATGAGCTCTAGAGTGAATTGGGTTTAAGGCTTGGTCATTGAGAAAACAATCTAGCCAGTAAACCCCAAGTTAACTAGGCAGCTTTCAGATGATCTTTGAAGTCCCTTCCAGCTCTGAATCTAGGTTCTTATGATTTCTAGACCATTCCATTGATCATGCTGCTGAACTTTCCTATGTATGTTATCTTCCCCACTTAAGAGTGGGAACTGCTTGAGAACAGGAATATCCTGCTTTTCTGCTTGTGTCCCCCATCGAGCTTGTCACAGTGCTTGACACACAGCAAGCATTTCCTTCCTTCCTTCCTTCCTTCCTTCCTTCCTTCCTTCCTTCCTTCCTTCCTTCCTTCCTTCCTTCCTTCCTTTTTTCTCTCCTCTTCTCTTTCTTTCTCCTATCTCTCTTCCTTTCTCTTTCTTTTTTCCTTTTTCTCCCTTTCTTTTTTGCTCCCATTCTCTTTTCTATTTCTCTCTTCCTCATTCTTTTTCCTCCATTCTCTTTCCCTTTCTCTCTTTCTTTTTCTTTCTCTTTCTCTGTCTTTTTCTTTCTCTCTTCCTCCCATTCTTTCCTTTCTCTCTTTTTCTTTTTCTCTCTTACTCTCTCTCACATTCTCCCTGTCTTTCTCCTTCTTTCTTTTCTTCCTTCCTTCTTCCTTTCCTTCCCTCTTCTTTTCCTTCCTTCTTTCCCCCCTCTCACCTGGTGAGGATACTCCCTCTCACAATGCATATGAGCACCTGTTCTGGAACTTAGAATCTTATGTAGTTGCCTGGGGGACTGAGAGGTTTAGTGACTTGCTTAGAAGTTGTACTTGAAACCAGGTCAGCCGAACTCCAAGGCTGCCTCTCTATCTATCTACATTTTACAGATGGAAAAACCATGGCCCAGAGAGCTGAAGTGAATCATCTAAAGTAATGCGATTGGTCAATGACAAAGTCAGGGGTAGACTCCGGGTCTCCTGACTTCTGGCCCAGTGTTCCTTCCACTACATCACATGAGGAAACTCTCTGCAAATGATCTTTGGGACACCAGTGGACTCTCTTTCTCACCTATTAATCATCATTGTCTTCAGCAACTCATCATTTATTGAGTACCTAATATGTGCACAGCACATTGTCCTAAGAACTAAGAATATGAAGAATCAAATAGCCGTGCTATTGTCAAGGGACTTACAGTCTATTTGGGGAAATTATATAAGCAGCAATATAAGGTTAAAGAGTGAGTAGTACTGAGATTGGAGAGCTTGGTTTTAAGAAGACCCGGTTTCAAGATCCATTGTAGGTCTAGATTATCTGTGTGACACTGACAAGTCACTTGACCCCTATTGGTCTCATGCATTAAGACTATAAGTCTTTAAGATTCTAAGTGGTAGAGCAGAGGCAGTTCTGCATTGGTGGAAGGAGTTTCCTTAGCAGGATTCCCTAAAATTGTGAAATGATAAGTCCAATCCCCATCCTCCTAATGCCCCTGTCCTCAGTAATAATAAAATGATATGCATTACATGTTAGATCGTATAGCACAGAGTATAAGAGTGACCAATGAGAGTAGACAGGCACATAGACTGGACAGGCTGTGATCAGGAGTCTGCAGGACTTGTTTTGGGACCTTGGGAGATAGCAGGATTTCAAGATTAGAGGAGAGGCAACATACTCAGGAGGTATAGCATGAAAGAAAGCCACAGAGGGAGAAAATAGCATGTCATTTGTGGAAGAGAGTTAGGGATGAGCCTGGATTAAGAGACAGTATAGGTTTGGCAGGTTGAAGAGCAAAGTATTATGAATAGCCCTAAATAAAGGGCTGAGAAATTTCTTTGTGATGCTGAGTAATTGAATCTCATGCACATCCCCAATGAATTTATTTCCCTATTAGAGAAACACAGAATGGGATGGGTGCATTTGATGCATGGCATCATTATAGGATTTAGAACTCAAGGGATTCAATTCAACAAGCATTTATTAAGTAGCTACCAGGTTCAAGGCACTGAGCTAGGTACTGAAGACATAAAGATAAAGAAAAAAAACCCTGCCCTCAAGGAGATTATATATGGGGGGGGGGAGAGATTTACTCAGATAAATAAATATAAAATGAACATAGATGTATATGTGTATATGTGTGTGTATAAGAGAGGGTATTCCATATTCCCACCTCAATAATTAGAGACCCCCTCACTTTTGATTGAATTAAAGGTGAGGTGTGAACAAAGCCTAAACATCTCTATGTAGTCAATCAATCTAAGGCACATACTGTATGTGAAAACATAATCAATGGAGGAATGAACACTTTTGAGCCATGGGATGAAAACAAATGAAGATTCAAAGGTGTAGGAATAATTCATGCTTTTTTTCATTTTATCTTATAAATAAAATTTATGCAAAAATTTACAATATTTCCAATTAAATAAACATTTCTGCCAGTTATTAACTGAAATGTTATTTTAAAGAAAAATGCAATTAAACCCCTCCAAAAATGTATTAGGGCTTTAAAATAATTTTTTAAAATGTTCAAATAAGGCATTTAATTCTGGCATAACTAAATTAGGTAGCTAAGTGATCAGACACTTTTTAAGAATAAGAAGTTTAATATTATTTAATGGAAATATAGTTAGAAACTAAATAATATTAAAATTCCTATTCAGAGAGGTGAGGAGAGGAGAGGGAAGGGAAGGGGAGGGGAGGAGTAGGTGGTAGGTTGAAAAGAATCTGTAATACCCTATAAGTGTTGGTTAAAAAACAGAAAACCAATTTGGAAGTTGAGATTCCAATAGCAGGCCAGACTAGTGGGAGGACAGCTTTATTGAAATCCCTAAGAGGGAAACAGTTGGAGGGTAAGAAAAGAGTCTGTGTCTTTTCTCCCTGCCCCTCACCCCCACCTCCTACCAACCAAGAGAACTTTGAAAGGCTGAAAGCTTGGGACTTCCCATCAGTGCCCTAGCAGCGTCCTGGTACAGCAGTGGCTGATGGAAATGTCTGTATCAGGAGCCAAGGACAATCTAGACACACTGAGACACAGCTAATTGAGGACTTTACAAGGAGTCCAACAGAAATCTATGCCTAGGGGCAACTTCACCAGGACTAAGTGAAGGGAGAAATGGACTTTCAAACTAATCAGGAACTATGAGCAACTCCCTGCCACATGTTCTGTAAGCTTAAGATCATTTTCCCCTAGACTCTGTATGTACATATGGGAAAATGTGTCCCAGACCTAGGGTACAAGAGTGTTGTACTTTGGTCCTTGCTATACCCTCTTGGTAAATATCCCTTTTTAAAAACTAACTGATTATCAATTGGTTAATTGATGAGAGAGATTAAGTGACTACATGATATTGGAGAGCACACTGACGGGGACCCTGATTACTGGTACCAGGGAAACCACCCCTAATTCTTTCAGGGTTCCCCTAGAAACATGAGAAAAGAATAGCCAGCTGCCCTCTGAGCCTAGCCAATGGGAGTAGGAGTTGGGAGAATGAGTCCAGGGCTTACACTACAAATATGAACTAAACACAAAGGAATTTTGAGAAGTTAGGGCAAAGAAATGCTAACATTGGGGCATCCTGAACAATACCAAGCTTAAGGGAGCTCAGACTGCTAAGAGGTAGTGGCACAGCTGGGCTGGAACCAGCTTCTCCTGTTGTTAAATTTCTAGGGTGATCATTTACACGTTGGAAATTGGCAAATAGTAGAAATCAGGGTTTAACATTGTTTTATTGATTATCTAGACTTAAGAAAGAGATAGAGAAATGTCAATAATACAAATTCAAATTAAAAGTCTGTTGGGTTTTTTTGGTTTTTTGTTTGTTTTTGGTTTTTCTTTTCAGAAAGCCAGTTGTCAAACATCTACCAGCACACCTCTGGGTAGAGGTGAGAAGAAGAGTATTTCAAGCACGCAAAACAGCTTGGAAGAAGGTATTGAAGATGGAGAAAAAGTATCCCGTATTGGGAACACCAAGTAGACCAATGTGGCTAAAAAAAAGTATGACCGAAGATAATGCAAAATTGGTCTGGAAAGACAGGTTGAGGCTAAGATAGTGAAGGGCTTTACATGCCTGAGAAATTTGTATTGAATCCTTGAGGAGAGAGGCAGCCACTGAAGCTTCTCATTTAGATGATTTTAAAGATTATCAAATTCATTTTACAGATAAAGAAACACACAGAGGGCAAGTAACTGGCCCACAGTCACATAGTTGCTAAGTATGAGAGCTGGGATTAGAACCCAGGTCCTCGGACTCCAAAGCTAATGCTGTCATCACTATACTGCTCTCTGTAGGTTGGAGTCTCCTCTAGGAGGCCTTCATTGTCTCTGAAGACTACCAAGAACTCTGTGGAGTGTTCACGGGCACACTAGAAATAGCACACATCCCTACAATTCTCCAAGAAGTGACTTGTCCCTTGGGACAGGCTTATTGTATCAGTCCATTGAACAATAAACAGGCTGAGAAGAAATCTGTGTTGTCTCTTAAAAACAACCCATGACTGGAAGTTAGAAGAACTGGGTCCAGGTTCTAGTCATGCCACTAACTAGGAGTGGGCATTTTTTTTTGGGGGGGAAGAGGGTATGGAAAGAATACAACCCATCCTGCTGACTCTCCTGTGTTATTATGAGGGTCAAGTGAAAGCACTCTGAAAAGTTAAAAGTGCACTCTAGAAATGTAAGAGCTTATTATTAATATTATGCAGGCAGTACCCAAGCATTAAGTCATAGATCTGGAAGTCAATTGGGACTTAGAGGTCAATTAGTACTTCTCCTTCATTTTACAGATAAGGAAACTGAGGTCCAGAGAGGGTAAGCAATTTGTTCAAGGTCACACGGGCAGTTAGATTTTGAATTCTGATCTTCTGACTTCAGATCCAGGGCCCTTAATATCACACCAGGCTGACTGCTCAGGAAAGAACAAATACAGCTGCAGTTGTGAAAAACTGCAGCAGCCCTCCAAAGAGGTGTGTAAATTGAGCCTTTATAACTCAAATCAAGTTTTAAAAGCCCTGTGCTTTTATAAAGTTAAAAAAAAATCACTCCCGTTTCTCTCTTTGGCAAATTGAACTTTGTCACAGATCAGGGTTGTTTTTTTTTTTGAAAGTGTGGCCTCCCTGAACCCACCCAAAGAGTCAGAGGTTTATAGATCTAAAGTTGGGGGGGAAGGGGAACCTCACAGGCCATCTAGTACAAACCCCTTATTTTACAGATGAGGAAACCGAGGTCAAGAAAGACAAAGTGATTTGCCCAAAGTCATAGTACCCATAGTAAGCCTCAGAGGCAGGATGATCTTCTGACTCTGCAGTTACTTTCTACTGTACCTCCACACACTTGCCTTCATCCAGTTTATCTGCTCCTTAGGTTTGCATGCCATTTCTGTGTGTGCCAGAGAACAAAATGGGAAGCGATTCCCACCTGAAGCAGTGTTCTCAAAACAGACCTGAAATACCCTCTCTGATGCCAGCCAGGAAATCTCACTAGCTCAGGGCAAGACTAAGGAAGCCCCTGCCTGTGTCTCTGCAGCTTCTCCAAAACTCTCCTTCTAGTCGTTGTCTCAGCTTGTGGCATAAACTGAGATCTTTCATTCGGGAACCTCGAAGATTCCATAATGAGTTAGCCTTTTCCCAGTCTATTTTAATCATGCTCAGCTCCCTAGCTCTACAGAGGCTATAAAACATGCAGGTCGTGGCAATAATATGTTTAGTAGCCGAGCTTGATAAAGTGGAAATGTTTGCATGTTTCAAATTACAAGCAATTTAAAGTAGGAAGTAAGCTAACTAGTTCTTGTGTTATGAAGCTTGACATTGTTAAGCCTTAAGAGAACACATACTTCAAAGTGTCAGCATCTGAAATATGCCCTGTAAGCCTGGCAAAGAGAGCTCTGCCATAATGACGTACTATGGCACCAGGAGGAGAGAGGAGATGGACCACAAACTCTCTGTGTAATCAAATGCTGCTTAGCTGCAAACTCCCCAAACCTACAGTGCAGAGTTTGGGTTTTCCATTAAAAAAAAAAGTCCAGGAGAAAATGTCTCCCCAGAGAAAGCCCCAAACCTAATGCATAGACTCTGGCCAAGTTGTCCTTCTATTCAATAAATTACAGTGGCTTCCCGATGCTTTTAGAATCAAATATTAAACTCTGTTTGACAACTCCTCGTCATAATCTATCCATTTCCTACCTTTCAAGTCTTCTCATACATTATTCCTCTTTATGCATTATACCTTTGGCTAGCCCTACTGCTTTTATCTATCTATCTATCTATCTATCTATCTATCTATCTATCTATCTATCTATTTCATTTTGAGTTCTGAGTTGTCTCCCTCCTTCCCTCTCAACCCCTCATTAGAGAAGGCCAACATTTGATACAGATACACACACATACATATGTGGAACCTTACAATGCATGCTTCCATTCATTAGTTTTTTCTCTGGAGGTGAATAGCATTTTCCTTTATAAGTTCATCTAAGTTGATCTGAATGATCATACTATTCAGAATAGCTTAGTCATTCACGGTTACTCTTCAAACAATATTGCTGTTACTGTATACAACCATCTCTTGGTTCTGTTCTTTACACTCTGCATTATTTCATGCAAGTCTCTCCATGTATTTTTTTCTAAAACTAACTCACTCATCATTTCTTATAGCCCTGTAGTATTCCATTGCAATCATATGCCCCAATTACTCAGCCATTCCCCAGTTGATAAGCCTCCCACTTCTTAGTTCTTTGCTACCACAATGCATGCTGCTATAAATATTTTACAGCATATAGATTCTTTTCCTTTTTCCCCTGATCACCTTGAGAAACAGACCTAAGAGTGGCATTGATAGGTCAAAAGTTTTATAGTTCTTTGGGCATAATTACAAATTGTTCTCCAAAATGATTGGATCAGTTCACAATTCCACCAAATTGAATTAGTGTCCCAATTTTTCCACATCCCTTCCAACATTTGTCATTTTCCTCTTCTATCATTTTAGCCAATCTGCTAGGCTTGAGATGGTACCTCAGAGTTGTTTTGATTTGCATATCTCTAATGAATAATGATTTAGAACATTTTTATATGACCGTGGATAGCTTTGATTTCTTCTTCCAAAAACTGCCTGTGTGTATCCTTTGACCACTTATCAATCGTAGTGGTCTTTTCCAAGCCCAAATTAACTCTGACCCTATCCCCCATACTTCCTGGGAACACAATAGTGAGCATCTTTAACATATCCTTTATTATTCTTTCTAGGATTTTCTAACAATATCTCCCCCCACACAAACACATTGGGAGTTGGTTCCCTGCTTCTAAGCATCTTCCCAGACCCCTTCCAGCTCCCAAAGCACATGTGATGCTCCAGTTAGAGGAGAGTCACTGTGGATGTTAGAAGGTGAAATCACAAGGGGCAGCTGCCTAATGTGAGGGAGGGAAAACCAGGCATTTGGGAGTCATTGTAGACCACATCTCAGCTGCTCATTCAGCCAGTAGCACCTTTGTAACATGGACAAAGAACCTGTCTCAAAATCTGCCCCATCCTGAGCCAATGGTCAATGGCTAAGGCTGTTTAGCATAGGCTTCTTCATATACCACCATCTTTGACTCCCAAACAATAAAGGGAGAGAGATCAAGAACATGGTATTCCTGCTTTCTGATTCCAACACTTTCTTCTGTGTTCTGGACCCCAGAGTCCTAGATTTGGAATTTGAGGACCTGGGATCAAACCCCAATCCTTCTAGTTGCTATCTATGTGAACTTGGATAGGTCACTTGTCATCACAGGTCCTTCGTCTCCTCATCTGTAAAATGAATGGATTGGACTAGATGTTCTCTAAAACCACTTTGAGAGCTACATTTATGATTTGGTTACTACCTCCATTTCATAGATAAGGAAACAGACTCAAATTGGTAAAAATGACTTGATTATGGTTGCACCACCAATATATGTCAGAGATGGGACTTGAATACACATTGTCTGACTCCAAGTCCAATGCTTTCCCTAATTTATTATGCTCTGTCACATAAATCTGAAAATTCTTTGCGAAGCACAAACAACATACAAATGTCAGCTATCACTGTAACCACCACCACCACCACCACTACCACTTTCACTACCATCATCACCATCACTACCACTATCAACATCATTTTTAGGGACAAAAATAAACCTAATGTCTGACCTAGATGCCAAAAAACTTCTAAGACATCTTGGGAGAAGGATTGAGAATTTATGCAGGTGGAGCAATTTTTAATTCTCTATAAAATGTAAGCATGGCAAAGATATAATGATATAATCAGGTCAAGATACAAAGTCTGACTGGACATGAATCAATGGAGAAACATTAGGCAATAGGCGTCTGAGATGCTATGCCAGTTAGGAAATATTAAGTCTACATAAATACGATCTATTAATTATTAATGGTTAAAAGGAATGGGCCAAAGCAGTTTCTAAGCCAAATGAATGAAACATTCATTCATTCTATGCTAATTAAGGACCTTCTATGTGAAAAAAAACTTTCTAAGGATGTGTGCAAAGCTTTTATAAGATGTGTCTTATTCTCATTTAGATTATAAAACAAGTGTCTTATGTCTCATTTGCAATATAATAATGGGATAAGAGATAAACATAGACAAACACCATTCAGAATAATGCATGATGTGTGTGTGTGTGTGTGTGTGTGTGTGTATTGTTCTGAAGTTCTATGAGATAAGAAGTCATTCAGAATGAGGATTGTATAGAGCTATGTGAGGGATTAGCACCATAGAATCTTAGATTGATAATTAGAAGGGACCTTGTAGGTCACCTAGTCCAACCCCTTCATTTATGGTTGAAGAAACTGAGACCCATAGAGAAGAAGTGACTTGTTCAAAGTCAAACAGGTAGTAAATGAAAGAACCCAAATTTGAACCCAAGTCCTCTGATTCCAAATCCAGCATCATTTTTACCATACTCACTGAGATTGACAATGAACATCATTTCATGGAGTTGTGGATTTATAGTTGAAGGGACCTCAGAACCCCTTTCATTCCACTGCTTCTTTTTATACATGAGGAAATTGAGATCATGGAGGTTAAGTGACTAAAGTCACACAGATAGTGGGTAATATAGAAGATAGGATTTAAACCTGAGCCCTCTGGTCATTAGATTTGGAAGCTCTTCCATTCAATTTAAACTCCTAAGTAGGGACTATTTTTGCCTCTCTTTGTATCCCCAGCACTTAGTTGCCCAACATATAGTTGGCACTTTCCAAATGTTTATTGATTGATTGGCTCCAAGTCCATTGTGCTTTCTTCTGAACCATGAAAATATAGAAGAATGACTATGTACCAGACTATCTGGCCTCATCTTGATAGGGAACTACTCTTCTGGTCTAAATTTGTCCCCCATTTCCTTTGTACAGGTCTTTGAGGTCTACTAGAGTAGTATCGTTGGCCTCTTGGTCCTAAAATT